GAATGCTACAGGTTCATGTAAATCTGTAGTTATTGTTATTTCACATTTGATATGAAACCAAGTTTACGAAAATTTGACAGTCGTTGAATTAGGTCATACTTTTTCATGAATAAAAGCACACATTTCTAAGCAAGTTTTGATGGTCTATTCTTTTAATTTTACACAACTTTCAGTTGATCTAAGGTGCAAAGAAAGGATAAAAAACCTTCGTAAAAATGGAAATTGTTCTTATAAGTATATGTACTAGTAGTTTTCTATAAAGTTTGTTGTAGTATTGGAGTATCTTAGACTTCATGTCCTTGTGTATTCACATGTCACAGCAAATACCTAAGGAATTTTACAACGAATCAGTTTGTTTTGTATATCTACGTGCCCTTATCAAACAGAAATGCTTGCTGCAGAAACTTGCAGGAAACTTGAAAATAATGTTAGCATCTGGCCGCAAACTTCCTGCAAACACAATAGCTTTTTGCTGCAAGCTTACGGCAAGTTTGCAAAATCAAATATGTTTGCCAAACTTGCAGAATATTTGCAGCAAACATGCAACATATATAGATTCTATTTCAAATTATTTTTTTTGCTTTACTCCAAGATTGCTGCAGATGCATTGCTGTAGATTTACAGTAGCTTTTTGCAGGATGTGGATTTTCTCAGTAAGGGTGTCATAAATGAATATTTTTTATTTCGAGCGTCGCTGATCAGTCTTTTGTAGACGAAACGCGCGTCTGGCGTTCATATAAAATTTCAATCCTGGTATCTATGATGAGTTTATTGTACATCACACCAAAAGAACATCGTGTCCAATGCCACATTCGGGAACCTGGATCGGCATCATGTGGGGGTGCTTCAAACAAGATAGGTCGTCCAATACTTCTTATTCTTTGAAACGGATTTAAAATAAATATATAGCTTGTTCAATGTGACAACATTTGCTGTTCCCTCATTTCAGTTCCCATAAGATTTAATAATTTTTGGATATCTACTATTGACGAATGACATAATTGTTTTATCATAATGAACTAAATAACAGGGTATATACTGTTGGGTCAACTAATAGTTTCGCAGACGTGCAAAAGTGCAAAAATTTGCAGATGACTCCCTGCTATACTAAAGATCCACCAAGCAGTGAGGACAGGTAACAACTACAAGATCTGAATGGTTGTGAAATATCAAATGACTTCCCACCCAGCCAAATGTTACACATGGAGAGTCACAAGGTGGAAACCCCCTTCAATAAAAACATACTAACACCACAGAAATCAAAATTGAAATTTCATGTTTAATAAAGTTAAACATACTATCACCACAGAAATCAAATTGAAATTTCATGTTTCATAAAGTTAAACATACTAACACCACAAAAATCAAAATTGAAATTTCATGTTTCATAAATTTAAACATACTACATGGAAATAAAATAGTAATAAGTTATGAGGGGACAATGTTTTGGATTCCATTGTTAGATCTAAAAATTGTATGCATCCTTTTAATGAAATCAATATATTGAAACAAACCCTGATATATTAGAATCGAAGATACACTTACAAAAGAGAAATTAAATGGAATTAAGATATGTTGTTAACAAGTCCTGTACTGACCTAATATTTGCTCTTCAGTAGTCTTTATATAAATATTGTGAATTGTTTGTTCTTGTCGTATAGTTATGAATATGAACATGGATAAGTTGCTGGGGGATGATATCGCTTAAGCATTAAAGAATTTTACTATAAAAAATTTCATGAACTTTGATCATTTTGTGTTGGTTGCGTCTTTCAAATAACTCCCACCCTGTTTCATCCTACAATATTCCAGACTATCTAAACAATAAACTTAAAAATCTGCAAGCTGAAACAGGTTGAAAGTTGCTGGTGGTACAAAACTTTAAAAAAAATCAATAGTGATCAGATTCACGAAAAGATGTTAAGGTCAGGTGACCCTGCCAGAAGGACATGTAGACCTTGTATCGATTCTATATACCAAATATAATTGTACTATCACTTATGAAAGTGAGAAAATTATGTGATTAAAAATAGTTTTGTATCAGGAATCTGATGTTCAGTAATTGTCGTTTGTTGATGTGGTTCATAAGTGTTTCTGGTTTCTCGTTTTTTTTATAGATTAGACCGTTGGTTTTCCCGTTTAATGGTTTACACTAGTAATTTTTGGGGCCCTTTATAGTTTGCTGTTCGGTGTGAGCCAAGGCTCCGTGTTGAAGACCGTACTTTGACCTATAATGGTTTACTTTTATAAATTTTTATTTGGATGGAGAGTTGTCTCATTGGCACTCATACCACATCTTCTTATATCTATTGAAAGCAGTGGATGAACCGTGATCAGGGACAACAGACAGAAACTTCACAACATAAGACATCTGTATAAAAAATATGAAGTATCTAACTTTTTTCTGCGAGAATCAAGCTTTAGTCAAACAGTTTATGTTTTTGCTTCAGGATTGGCATTCTTATTTTATTCTATGTTGTTTGTTTGGCTGAGAAACAAGTCATGGTTAATGGGCTAGAACTACTACAAGATATTGATTGACAATTTTATTTCTTTTCAGTCATGTTGAAATATTTGTAGATCTTGGTTTGCTGAAAATTTTCATTGTTTGCAGTTTCTCTCTACGTTCTAGTTTCCAAAAACACAAAAATAGTCCCCTAGTCTTAGATGCATGATTTTTTTTATGCCCCCAATATAGGCTACAGGGACATTGAGTGATATCCTTGACCGTCAGTCCCATTTTTGTTTGTTTGAAGCTTGAGCTTCTTTTATTATTAGTTGTTATTTGCTTTGAACTAGCTTTCAGCAACTAATAATACTCTGAGATCTGTACATTGCCTTTGTTAGGGTTTTATGTGCTTTGTATTGATCTTACAAATTTAGACTTTTTCAACGGATTTTTATAGCATGTTCTTGTGTTGTACTGTTACACCTCTGTCCCAGGTAAGAGGAGGATTTGGCGCCTGCAATCATGTTTAATCCCACAGCATACTGTATGTGTTTTTAATTTGTTGCTGTATATCATATTTGTTTTTCGTTGTTTTGTACATGTATATCAGGTTGTTGGTTTTATCGTGTTAATTGTTTAACATTTGTCATTTCAAGGGCCTTTTATAGCCAAGTATGCAGTACGAGTTTTACTCATTGTTGAAGGCTGTAGTGTGACCTGTAGTTGTCTCATTTGCAATCATACCACATCTTATTTTTATATAAGGACAATTACTCCTACATGTAGTTTAATAAGTTTATTCTACACTGGCTAGAGGTATAGGGGGAGGGTTGAGATCTCACAAAACACGTTTAACCCCGCCGCATTTTTGCGCCTGCCTGTCCAAAGTTAGGAGCCTCTGGCCTTTGTTAGTCTAGTATGTTTTTTAATTTTAGTTCATTTATATGTTTTGGAGTTTAGTGTGACGTCCATTTTCACTGAACTAGCACACAATTTTAGTTAGGGGCCAGCTGAGGACCACCTGCAGGTGCGGGATTTACTCACTGCATTGAAAACCCATTGGTGGCCTTCGGCTGTTGTCTGCTCTTTGGTCGGGTCGTTGTCTCTTTGACATATTCCCCATTTCCATTCTCAATTTTATTGGTGGAAATAGTATTTTTTAACTAAGAATTTTAGTTCTGATTTTCTCTTTTAAAATGGAGTCTTGAAGGGGTTGTTGCCATTTCTGTATTCTTTAAATTTTTAGGGCATTTTTCCCTTTATATTTTGTGCACCCAATTATTCACCGTCACTGTTTTTACCATTTTTTTCTCTCTTTTCTGTAAACCCCATCCAGACCCTCCTATAAGGTTTTCAAGATATAATACAAGTACTTGCAATTTACCATTATGTACCAAATTGAAGCAATGAAATCCATGTTGGTTTATTGACAGGATCAATAAAAACCAAACTTTATATTAGATACCCATTAATTATTACTTATTGACTTAATAAACTGCTTCGCTGAGCGCAGCTGGATATGCCCGCAGAGGTCCAACCCTGAACAGTTGGGGCAAAAATGGACACAATATTCAAGCTTGATACAAGTCTGAATTTGGATTGTAATTAAATATTTGACATATTATAGGTTTCTGAATAAATGTAGTCAAAGAACTTGAAATTGGTTATATGAATTGAATTCATATTCAATTAAAAGATTTCTTGCTGTTGTGCAAAACTTAGTAAATCTGTTGTCAGACTATAGACAAACAATAACTTCTCAATGTTATATCAGAAATTTATAAAAAACCTAAAGGGAGGTTATCTTAATAGATATAAATCAGTCATCAAAGTTTAATGAAAACTGCTCTAAGCACTTGAAGGATATTGTCCAAAAACTTGAAAATCAACCCTTTTTTATGAATAAAATCTTATAACTCGGAAATGTAAAATCTTAAATTAATAAAAATCAAAAGGGAGATTACAACAATAGATATAAACAATTTACCAAAGTTTCATAAAAAATGCTGAAAGCATTTTTGAGTTATTTTCCGAAAACTGGAAAATCCCCCTTTTTGTAATGAATAAAACCCCATAAATCGGAAAAGTATGGTCTAAAATTTATAAAAATCAAAAGGGAGCTCATGTCGATAGAAATAAACAATTCACCAAAGTTTCTTGCAAATTGGTGAAATTGTTTTCGAGTTATTGTCCACAAACTGGAAAATCCCCCCCTTTTTTAATGAATAAAACCCCTAAAAACTCGAAAACGGTAATTCCAAAATTTATAAAAAACAAAAGGGAGCTCACGTCAATAGATATAAACAATTCACCAAAGTTTCATGCATATTGGTTAAAGCGTTTTTGAGTTAATGTCTGACATGTTGACGACGGACGGACAGACGTCAACGGTTTACCATAATACGTCCCGTAAACGGGCGTATAAAAAGGTTTACAAGGATTGACACCAATACCTCACACAATGAGTTTACATATGAACAAAGTGACAAGAAACAAATAAGTAGTTGAATGCAATAAACATATTGTCAGAATGAAAACCAACACAATCAAATCTTGTACAGATAATTTTATTGTTTTAATGTAAAATTCTTTTTGAGACCATAATAACTCGTCATGTATACAAATGATACTGTGTAACAATCTCACAATTGACAACTGTCATTAAACTTGCAGAGTCATAAGATTACAGAGCATTCATTTTGAACTTCCTTTCAGTAAAATATCACATGATTAACTGGTGAAGCTCAGCACCAAATATCAGTTTAAAACAGTAGATCCTTAGTTGGACAAGACTCCTTTCCAGTCCTAATAAATTTGATACATGTCATCATATACATCTTCAATGCCAATTAAAAAAAAAATGTTGCATAGGCTAGTTTGGTTGAAATCTAAGTTGGTACACATTTTGTAGCATGATTGTAATCAATTTGAAAGAAAATTTAATGAACAAAAAGCACCCCTTTTCTCAAGTTTGACGATATAAACTAGCATTTAAGTCATATAGATTTCAGATACATGCACTGTAAGAAATGGTTGTAATGTCTCATATGACACACTTCAGATAACTTTAGGTTCAGACAAATTTCAAATTGGTCAACCTATACATAAATTCACATAACTGCAAATTTTCTAAAAGACAAGTTATATATAAACACAAATAAGCAAGAATTAAATTAAAGCTAGTGCATTTTGATAATTCCTTTTCGGTAAATGCTCAACTTTAACAGAAGTTGGCACAGAATAATTTTATTACTACCATTCATTAAACAGATACCAGAACTAATTATTTAACAGGAAGGCATGACTAGAAAAAAGAAGTTTGGAATGTACCATCACCCAGAACATATTCACAACCTCAACTCAATCATACAGCATTCATACAATAACCTGTAATCAATTCATTTAATGCATGATATGTTAGACCACACAATATGTATTTTCATCATTTGGAACTTGTACTGGTTCAACAAGTATGAAATGTTGATGTATTCTACTGTAAATAAGAACATTTAACTCTAAACACTTAAAATCATTTATTCATTTCTATGCTGCCATATATGGAATAAATCTTAACAGTTCAGGAAATACAGCACTTTTTAAATTATGCATGGAATTAAGATGCAGATTTAACTTCCTTAAACCCTTAGTAAATGGTATTAAGGGTCCATGATTTTTTTTAATGTACATATGAAAGTCTTTCACATTCTCACTTTATAAATGCAAAAAAGCTTTGTAGAGGATATAATATATTTTTATTTTACTTCGGTAATTTTTGGTACAAAAATTTTCCTACAGGGCTGTTCCAAAATTAATTGTGGTGGGAGTGATGGGAGGTACTCAAATAAATAAATTATGGGTGGTTGCATTTTCCTTATAATTTGGTAAGAATTATAAGTAATATAAAAATCTTATCTTAAGGGTGGTTGGGGTCTAGAAAAGTGCCTCCCATGCATTTTATTTTGGAACTGCCCACAGAAACTCCCAGGAAAATTACTTTCTTAATACTGGCGCTAAATAGACTACATTCACAATAAGTATATCATCATACAGAAAAGGTGGTTTTTCCAAGTCAAATGTTGTCATGCTCAAAATAACTATCACAATTTACAAAATCACAATTGCATAATACTTTCAATCAATCTCTCACTCTCAAAGTACTTGTTTTGATAAAATTTTAAAACTTTCAACAATTTTTATACAATCTTCCAACAATGGTTTAATGATAGATTAGCTCTTTGAATATAGCCAAACTTATGACCTGATGTAGAAAACATTTTCCTGACATAAATCTAAAAGGTGTCAAAAATTAAAAACATGTAAAGCTAGCATTTTCTTAATAATATGATTGGTCAATTTTCTGATCATGACATGCAACAATAAAATGTAATACAATAAGTTGGCTGTAAAATTTAAATGAAAATGATTTAAACAACCTATTTTATCAAAACAAATATTTTTATATACAATATCTTTCTGAGTTGCGGAATAATTTAAAAACAAACTTAATAACAGCAAGTCGAGTTAGAGAATAACATGATTTCTTGTGAACAATTTAATAATAGCCTTGCAGTCTATGTAACTACTATACTTTCGCTGAAAAGGGATTAATAGTTTGAGCTTAAGTGACATTTCTATGATACACAGCAACTCTCGAATTATTCTTCGCCTGAACTTGTGGCTCTCTTGCTCCTCCTCTGTCTCGGCGATTGTTTCGGAGAGCGGCCAGGGGAGTTTTCTGAAAATAAATGAAAGACAATAATTAACTATCTATTGCCTGTGTTTGTTATAGTTCATTTAAAAGAAAATCTGAAAATAAACAAGCAATATATTGTATATACTTAAAATTGTTAACTTTTGTGTTGAGATGTTTCATAAATTGAAATTTGAACAGTTGCAAAATTGATTTTTAAGCATATGTTAGAGAATTCCTAACCCTCCACAACTCGACAGGATATTATGAAGGTCAAACATCCTCGATCTTATTTTAGCAAGTCTCAAGAAAGTTAAAAGATATAGTAGAATCTATCACTTGCTGGAACTTGCACCACAAGCATTTGTTCATTACAGAATTTCGATATGCTTGTAAAACATAATTTATTTATGCAAATTACAGCAGACCAAAATTAAACTTTGTGCTGTTTCAACTACAGCTAAGGGGTGTTCCAGACATCAAGGGACGGGAAGGCAATTTATATTTGATCTGCCATTTTAAAATTTTAATGGATTATTTCTATATATTTCAGGCTATCTTTTATAGTAATCACCATCCATCAAACGTAATAGAACCTTCTGACAGCATACAATCAATTCTGGAACAGCCCTTATCTAGATGTATATATAAATACTAGAAAAATGGAGGTTTAAACAGGTTATTTTTTTATTAAGTCTTTTGTAATATTTTGAAAAAAATATCAACATTGACATACTACATTCCCCCAGGTCAGATTTTCTCTTAACTGCTATGGTTTTCAAGATATTAGACAACTATATGTGCTCGCATTGTACCTCTATGTTCTTTTTTTAGCTGTGGGGCCATGTTGGTTGATGGGCCTTAATATAATCCACAAGCTACAATCTAGAACACTTAAGGATCAAGCAACAAACTTTGGTTTATATGGGCTCAGTAGTTTCAGAAAGAACTTTTGAAAAAGAGTATGACCAACAAGTTTTTGCAAAAACTCCTCGTGACTTAGGTAACAACGGGTAAAAAGAGTGAACACACTGAAATGTCTTTCCTGATTTACTGATCATTCATTATGAATTTTATGTTGAAAGTCTTTAAGATAAAGTGTCTACTATAGCTGTCACAGAAACTTAACATCATCAATGATCCATGAAAAAAGAGGTCAAGGTCAGTTAAACCCTGGCAGACCCCGATGAACACCTTAAAATCAGTTGTGAAATAGATTTTCAAGCTTTTGTTTGAGAATTCCTAACCCTCCATAACCCACCAAGAGATTATGAAGGTCAAACATCCTCGATCTTATTTTAGCAAGTCTCAAGAAAGTTGAAAGATATTGTATAATCTATCACTTGCTGGAACTTGCACCCAAAGAATTTTTGTTCATGTGAGTATTTCGGTATGATTGCTTGGAAAGTATTATTTATTTATGCCTATTACATCAGACCAAAATTAATCTTTGCAGATGTTTTAACTCTGACCAAGGGCTGTTCCAGACATAAATGTGTCTAGGGCTGGGAAGGCACTTTATATTCAATCTGCAAAGCATAAAATTTTAATTGATTTTTTCATTTTAGGCTTTCTTTTTTTTGAAAATTACCACCAATCAAATGTTGAAAGAAGTACATTCTGACCATTTTGTATTCAGTCTTCTGTAATGCTCAGAAATTTTTTTTTCTATCAACATTGACATACTACAATTCAGTGGTTCCCTAGCTAGGTTTTGAGAAATCAACTGGACATTTGGTCCAGTAAACCATTCTTCTGAACAGGACCAGACTTTTTTTTACAGGACATTTACACATGATTTGGACAAAATTCAAAATTTCACTGGTCATTTGGTCCAGTAATGCAGATCACTTAACTGGACCAAACCAATTTTAACTGGCTTTTCCCCAATGTCCAGTGACCTTGGGAATGACAGACTATATTCCCCCAGGTAAGATTTTCTCTAACGGCTATGGTTTTCAAGATATTAGACAAATATATGTGCTCGCATTATACCCTCAATGTTCTGTTTTTAGCTGTGGGGCCATGTTTGTTGATGGACCTTAATTCAATCCTCAACTACAAGCTATAATCTAGAAACTCTAAGGATAAATCATCTAACTTTTAATTTGTTTGGGTTTAGTAGTTTCAGAAATGATTTTTGAAAAAGCGTATGAAAGACAATTTTTTTTGAAAAACTCATCATACCCAAAGGTAATAAAGGGTAACAAGAGCACACACACTGAAATGGCTCTCCTGATTTCCTGATCATTATGAATTTTATGCTGAAAGTCTTTAAGATAAAGTGCCTACTACAGTTATCGCATTAACTTAACATTATCAATGATTCATGAAAAAGACTCAGATGAACACTGTACAATCAGATCAGTTGTGAAATAGAATTTTAAGCATGTTAGAGAATTCCTAACCCTCCATAACCCACCAAGAGATTATGAAGGTCAAACATCCTCGATCTTATTTTAGCAAGTCTCAAGAAAGTTAAAAGATATAGTAGAATCTATCACTTGCTGGAACTTGCACCACAAGCATTTGTTCATTACAGAATTTCGATATGCTTGTAAAACATAATTTATTTATGCAAATTACAGCAGACCAAAATTAAACTTTGTGCTGTTTCAACTACAGCTAAGGGGTGTTCCAGACATCAAGGAACGGGAAGGCAATTTATATTTTATCTGCCATTTTAAAATTTTAATGGATTATTTCTATATATTTCAGGCTATCTTTTATAGTAATCACCATCCATCAAACGTAATAGAACCTTCTGACAGCATACAATCAATTCTGGAACAGCCCTTATCTAGATGTATATATAAATACTAGAAAAATGGAGGTTTAAACATGTTATTTTTTTTATTAAGTCTTCTGTAATACTTTGAAAAAAATATCAACATTGACATACTACATTCCCCCAGGTCAGATTTTCTCTTAACTGCTATGGTTTTCAAGATATTAGACAACTATATGTGCTCGCATTGTACCTCTATATTCTTTTTTTAGCTGTGGGGCCATGTTGGTTGATGGGCCTTAATATAATCCACAAGCTACAATCTAGAACACCTAAGGGGATCAAGCAACAAACTTTGGTTTATATGGGTTCAGTAGTTTCAGAAAGAATTTTTGAAAAAGAGTATGACCAACAAGTTTTTGCAAAAACTCCTCGTGCCCTTAGGTAAAAAGAGTGAACACACTGAAATGTCTTTCCCGATTTACTGATCATTCATAATGAATTTTATGTTGAAAGTCTTTAAGATAGTGTGTCTCCTATAGTTGTCACAGAAACTTAAAGGGATAGTAGCTACGATTTTGACAAAATTATGACCAAGTTTTAAAGCTGCTAAAATCAAAGATATGTACTTTAAATTAACAATAAGATTGGTGGAATGTTTATATAAAGTACAGAAGTGTTAATTATTGATAATTAATATCGTGTATCGTGCCTTTTCATCTCATTAATTATGCATGGGGTTTACTTCCCGAACTTTGCCCACACAGCTAGTGAGATGACCAAGATATAAATAAATATGAACATGTGCTTTTGTTTTCTTACGTATTTGACAATTTCTTTAGATTAAACGTACATATTTGAAACCATTTATCAAATTATGTAAACAACAAAATATACCAAATGCCTGCATATTATTCGAACCCAAGGTTCTCCAACAATGGCGATATTATACACTTGTTTTATATTTGTATGACAAAACAATGCCGATAACGTATACAGGTGTTAGTGAATTGAATTGGGGCCTTCATGCAGGGTACACCGGAAGAATAATATTAAATTGTAAGAAGTTGATTTTGAATGTCTTCTAAGTTGTGAGATCACTGCTTTTAAATTTATAAAGATATTTTGGACAATAATGATTTGAACACGTCGCGATTTATTTTCATGTGATCTGGATTCAAAAAGTTCAGAAATGTTTTTTTACATTTCGCAAACCGTCGTAATGTTGACTGCTTATATAATGACTTTATCTGCGTGTCGGATGTTTCTAAATGATTCTAATGACCGATCTCATCGCAGTTATTTATTTTCAATTTACAATAACTTGTCTGCACCTCTTTACTGTTTCTTTTTCTCGCAGAAACTGTAAGCACACGTTCCATTTCTGCGATAACATTCCTCTGTTCGACATTTTCCCTTAGAGGGACAACTTGCGATTGCGCATTGGGAACTGCGGAGTTAAGGTCAACATAGGTCATATGAATAAGGGTTGGCTTAACATAGAATTTTTGTCTATAGACAAAAATTAAATTCAGGTGTAAAATGTTAAAAGGCTTCTAAATGCTAATTGGAAAGTAAACAGTGATGGTTTTATTCATTCTAAATAAACCTTTTGTACAAAATCCGGCATATAGATTAATAAAATAATTTAAATGAAATCGTAGCTACTATCCGTTTAACATTATCAATGATCCATGAAAAAAGAGGTCAAGGTCAGTTAAACCCTGGCAGACCCAGATGAACACCTTAAAATATTATCAGTTGTGAAATAGATTTTCAAGCTTTTGTTTGAGAATTCCTAACCCTCCATAACCCACTAAGAGATTATGAAGGTCAAACATCCTCGATCTTATTTTAGCAAGTCTCAAGAAAGTTGAAAGATATTGTAAAATCTATCACTTGCTGGAACTTGCACCCAAAGAATTTTTTTCATGTCAGTATTTCGGTATGTTTGCTTGGAAAGTATTATTTATTTATGCCTGTTACAGCAGACCAAAATTAATCTTTGCAGATGTTTTAACTCTGACCAAGGGCTGTTCCAGACATAAATGTGTCCAAGGCTGGGAAGGCACTTTATATTCTATCTGCAAAGCATAAAATCTTAATTGATTTTTTCATTTCAGGCTTTCTTTTTTTTTTGAAAATCACCACCAATCAAATGTTTAAAGAAGTACATTCTGACCTTTTTGTATTCAGTCTTCTGTAATGCTCAGAATTTTTTTTTCTATCAACATTGACATACTACAATTCAGTGGTTCCCTAGCTAGGTTTTGAGAAATCAACTGGACATTTGGTCCAGTAAACCATTCTTCTGAACAGGACCAGACTTTTTTTTACAGGACATTTACACATGATTTGGACAAAATTCAAAATTTCACTGGTCATTTGGTCCAGTAATGCAGATCACTTAACTGGACCAAACCAATTTTAACTGGCTTTTCCCCAATGTCCAGTGACCTTGGGAATGACAGACTATATTCCCCCAGGTAAGATTTTCTCTAACGGCTATGGTTTTCAAGATATTAGACAAATATATGTGCTCGCATTATACCCTCAATGTTCTGTTTTTAGCTGTGGAGCCATGTTTGTTGATGGACCTTAATTCAATCCTCAACTACAAGCTATAATCTAGAAACTCTAAGGATAAATCATCTAACTTTTAATTTGTTTGGGTTTAGTAGTTTCAGAAATGATTTTTGAAAAAGCGTATGAAAGACAATTTTTTTTGAAAAACTCATCATACCCAAAGGTAATAAAGGGTAACAAGAGCACACACACTGAAATGGCTCTCTTGATTTCCTGATCATTATGAATTTTATGCTGAAAGTCTTTAAGATAAAGTGCCTACTACAGTTATCGCATTAACTTAACATTATCAATGATTCATGAAAAAGACTCAGATGAACACTGTACAATCTGATCAGTTGTGAAATAGAATTTTAAGCATGTTAGAGAATTCCTAACCCTCCATAACCCACCAAGAGATTATGAAGGTCAAACATCCTCGATCTTATTTTAGCAAGTCTCAAGAAAGTTGAAAGATATTGTAAAATCTATCACTTGCTGGAACTTGCACTGGAAGCATTTGTTCTCATATTAGTATTACAATAGTTATGAATTGAAAACCAGAAAGCATGTGTTGTTGTGCTTAGCAAACCCAAACTCATAATTCTGAGTTCAAAAAAGAGCTCACACATTATTCAACCCATTTGAAAATTCAAAGTATCAGCAAGCAGGAGGTAGATGTGTGACAGTTAAAAATGCTCACAAGTTACATCTCATCACTGTCAAGCTGCTGACCAAATATGAAGTCATTCTATTTATTAGTACCTGAGAAAAGTGACAAATTTTGTTTAAAAACAATTGAGTTAAATGCTTTATACTTGTCACTAATTATTATCCAACTAAGCTTTACAGTCTTCAAGACAAACATTCAAATCCACAGACTAAAAGCTAACTTTTTACTATAATTTTAGTTAGATTCTATGGACCTGTAGGCCTGATTTTAACAGGCCTGACAGCAATTTTACAAGCCTGGGTTGTTGGGCCTGTGATTAAGCATGAAGACTGAGCCTATTACATCAGACCCAATTAAACTTTACAGGTGTTTCAACTCCAGTTTACCTAAATGTGTAAATTCCTAGAAAAAAACGGAGTTATAACACAGGTAATTTTTTATTCAGTCTGCATTTACGCTAAAAAAAACCCCAACATTATCAACTCATTTATTGCATGCATATTACTAATTCTTACTTTGAAGGGCTTCCTTTGGGATCCAGTCATAATCAATATCTGAGTTCTGTGTTCCCATTTCTACCTTTGGTTTTGGTTTTGATAGATGCTTTCTCTATAATTAAAAAAAGAAAAATACAACAAATACAATTATATTCAGAAGGAGATTACACATTCCCCCAAATAATATACCTGTACATAAAATTATTTTCCATAATTGTGAAAACAAGTTGTAACATTTTATACATATTTTGACTTTTTTATCTTTAAACTTTCAAAACATCATCTCATCTTTATCAGTATAAAGTTTTATTGATAGAAATTTCTGTACCAGGAGATATAAATTCACTCTGAAATGGACTGTTAACAATTACATGCGTTGGTTTACATAAACAAATATTTTTTAAGAGCTGTTCCATAAAAAAATACAAAGAACCCAAGGAAGGCACTTTAAAATCTCCTTTATGGGTTTGTTGCAAGGTAAATTGAGCAGTTCAGTCCTTACTGACAATGACAAAAAAATAATACTATTACAAAAGTAATTTGAATTCAAGAATATACATGTATTACATGTTGGGATGATGATGTAAGCAGCTGGATGTAAGTGCAATATGGTTATAGAAAGATGCATTACTTACACTGAAAGTTCCAAGGAATTGTTGTGCTCCTACCATAAGTAATACGGCTAATGCTGCCAAAAATACATACAGGAAAAATCTGAAGAAAAAAGCCATTTATTATTTAGGAAGGCTTGTTAACAAGACTAAAACATACATAGCAGAGTAGAATTTGAATTTAATGTTATTTTACCATCAAGAAGTGGAAACAATTTATTTGCTGTTTGAATGGAAAATTCAGATCACTCTTATAGGCATGTAAAAATTTAAATATTTTACAAAATAAAATTGATAAATTTTACAAATAATGTCCAAAATTGCTGCATATTAATCAAAGATAAAAAGCCTTTTAAAGTTGACAAATTATTGTAACTATGTTAAATTTTCTGTTGAAAGCTGTGTTTATGCCTAAGACAGTGATCATACCAACATCTGTGTTTGTTTAATTTTATTTGGTATGCCTTTAATAAGGTTTTCAATTTCCATATTGATCACTGAAATCAATTTTTCTGCGTTTTGATAAACCTGCTTAAACTTACGTTTCACCATCTAATCCTTCATCAGGTTCTATTATATTCACTGTCTCGTTAAACACAGCATTCTGGAATGCATTGCCATCCTAAAAAGTAACATACAAATATCACACAAAATTATCTAACATCTCAATGTAATTATTGACAAGTGCATTTTACAGATAAATCCGAAATCATGAATTTTATTCTAAAATTATAACTTGAAGCAGGTTATTTCTTTTATCGGATATTAGCACTGATTGTGTCTATGAAGCTGAATGAAGATTCAAGGATTGTTTTGATTTGTGCATCTTCGAAAAGACAAAACATTACTCTGTAGAATAATTTTTTCAAGAACAAAGCCTTAAAATCTTTCTTTTTATATTCATGAAGATGTTCTTAAAAGTTGGTGATAAATTAATTAGAATAAATTTTGTATTTTAAACTCTCCAACAATTTATATTTTTTGTCGTAAGTGCACTTATTGAAAACTGTTTTCTTTAAAGAAACATATTGTAGACATGGGACATTTCATTCTGTTTTTTTATGATAAAATCCTTACCTCATCTTTGTAGTCGAGAAGGATTGTCAATCCAAATGGTCTTGCAGCGAATGATTCTGGTGGACTGAATGCATATTCGACAGTAGCCTGACGCTTGGCTTCAACTTCCATGTTGTAAGTGGCTGCAGTGAACTGAAAGAAGAAAAAAGGAAACCTTAATACCTTTCTTTTCCAAATTCAAAGCTATTTCTCATGTGCAATGTTCAGATACAGTACCATTATCATTATGTTCATTTAAAAATGCCTTTTACCAGTTATCTAAATTTCAAGAAGACAAACAAAACAGGTACATTTTATACAAACTAAAAACAGAAGTATCTGGTATCTCACAAAACAACATTTTAAAGACAAAGATAGGATGAAGGTAAAACTCTACAGATACATCACATCTAGCATCAGTGAATAGTTGTTTGTCGAGACACTCAGTTCCATTTTATATAGGGAAAAAGCAATCAATACCAAAGCCACTGTTGTGATCTCAAAAAGACCCAACACACTACTCTCAATACTAAGGTTTAGCACACAAACTATTGCACAACAGATAAAACACCGAGACACAAATTATGAATGCAGTTCATTTTTTTACTAATAGTTTGCTGTAAATTATGAAATAATCATTCTACAAACAATAAACATTATTTACATATCAGATGACATACATTTTGGATGAAGAAGTTGTAGTCTTGTGGATAACGGAATGATGCTCCTAATGATTCTAGAGTGAACTTTTTGTCTCCTTTGTTTGTAAATCCTACCAGGAATCTCACTAGTTTACCAGCTGGCAAATCTGAAATAAAGCAAACCGAAAGTTGTGATAAACAGTCAACTACATACTGATTCAAACTTCAATTGTGTAAAAAGAAAACTTCCTACAATTTTGTATTCAATGTTCAAGAAAAGGTACACAGGTTTCAAACTCTTTTTGCAACAATATATTTTAACAATTTCTCTAGGACATTCGGTTTTTTTCAAATATGGTGTCAGTATTTTTGACTTAGTGATTAGGGACAAAGCCTCCTTGTGCAGAAAGTATAGTAAAGTGTAGATTCAGATGCAGTTCAGAGCTGGAACATAAAATTTAGGCTTTTTCCAATTTTCAAAGCAGAGTTGGAAGCACAATTGTTGTCCTTTGGAAAAAATTAAGGAAAACTATGAATTCCTCATTTCTTGATCACCCTGTAACTGTAATATACATTTTTTTGTCATTTTACATAAATTTGGCTAAATAATATCATATTATAAAATACCACTTTAAGTACCTGTTGTTCCAGTGGGCTTGGTAAAAAGTGTTATAACATCTGCATCTTCTGAAGGTTTTAATTGTAGTGTCTCTTCTTCCTCTTCCTCTCCCTGTTAACAACACATTCAATATTGCATAATTGATATAAACTTTACACGCTTGTTTATAATTTATTTTGTCTACATGTTATACAGTGTTCCAGCTAGGTCGTTTTCACAGGGCGGTCCGCCTGCCCTTTCCCGAGTGCCGCCCTGTGCCCTTTTTACAGTTTGCAGGGCGCCCTGCCTTTTTTGAAGATCGATTGGTATATTATTTTGTTCGTATTGATATGATCAGCCAATTACGAAAATTTACCTGGCGACAAGTATATGACTTTGTTTACGACCCCAAGCTAATCAACGGTTACAACAGGTGTCATAATCTGTTGTTATAGGTAATCCGTTTATCGGATGGGTCATTTAATGATCATCAACATTAATTCATTCAAATAGAATCGGTCAGTCGGCATTTGTCTTTGAACTTGAAGAAATGTTCATACAACTTGGGCACAATTAGCAATGTTTACCGTAGTTTTATGGAGAAAACGTAATTGACAGAAAGTCGAAAACCATAATCAACTCGTTAAAAACATTTGTTTTCCGTGAAATAAATAGCAAATTAAGACGTATTTTTCATTGACTTCCTTCATTTTTTATACGAAAATAACAAAATCGGCCGCCATATTGTTGATCATATTTACATCTTCTACGTACTGTTTATTATCCTCCAAAGAAGGAGCACACCCAAATAAAGAAAGATAACTCAATCTTATTTTTTCCTAGCATTGAGTAACCTACTAAGATATTATAAAATATGTCTTCATACTTCTGGCTTTAGAATTTACATGTTTAGGTGTTTTGAGTTATGGGAAAAGTTAAAGAGGGTCTTAGTAGCAGGGTTGGTAGGGTGCCTTGGTCATCTTTTTCTGTATTTTTTATTTTCAATCCAAATTTTCACTGTTCACTATATCCTAACATTGTGTATTTACAGCTGTTTTGTGCGGTATTGCCATTAAGCACAGAAAAGGTAGAAAGGTGAAACTTGTAAAGTGTGTCAGACCATAGAAACAGAATGAAGCAGGACATTTTTCAAAAAATACTGCATATAAAGCTTAACTGTGCCAAGCAATGATTTAAAACTTGTGTGACAAGCTGCTTGATAAGTTTTCAGCCTAAAAAGTCGAAAGATAGTTTTTCTCTGGGCTAATGATGTTGTTCTTGTATATATATAACCAGTGATTCAATGAACAAACAATGTTTGATTATAATCTTTATTAAAACATGCCCTTTTCATATTATCATATCACGCATTAAATGCCCTTTTCAGGATTGGCACCCTGCCCTTTTGAAATCCTAGCTGGAACACTGATACAAAAATATTTAGTCTGAGGTCCACTGACAGTATTTTTGGCATTAATTTAAATTATTGGATAGATTTTGAAATTCACTCATTACTGTAAATCAAATAAATTGTTTATTTAGATTCTGGGAGAAGATCAATCGTATCAATGTTTGTCAGAATTAAGTAGTAAACATATTTAACCCATAATGTATTATTTGCTGTAGTTCTTTCATGTGATCAATCAATTCTTTGTACATGTACAAAATTTACATTTCCGGGGCAATAATTAGTATGCAAATGTATTCTATTGTCACAAAACGTGGTCTTAACCAGTTTAATCAAACCTTTCCTAGTTTTTGCTGTATATTTGGTAAAGTTTTTAGAGGCAGTCCATCATAACAAAATTTTAATCTGATAGCCAAATTAGAGCAGTGAGAACAAATAATGAAAACCTCCACTAGGGTAGGTTTCATTTTGTTTTCCATAAAGCAATATACATGTACTTGTGTACATTATAACTTAGAAAACCTTCCTAACTATATATATTTAAGAGCCCATACCTTTTCTGTTTCTGTTACAGCAGCTTCAGGTTCTTCGGCTCCATCCTCAGTCTCTACATTAACATCTTCATCTTCACCTTCCATAGCATCACCCCCTCCATCTTCTGCAGCTAAAGCTATTGACTTTCCTGAAAAGAAAAACATATAATCATGTATTATATGAATTAAACAAGACATATTAATCAAACTATTATATTATCAAGATCAGTGAACCACAAAATCAGGGTCAAAAATCCTAATTTGCCATGTACTGTTACTGATTATCGATAATACATGTACTCAACACGACTAATTTTCTCCCTGCATTTTCTATTCATTATATAAACTGTTGACACAGAAATACCTGTAGATGTATGTTTTGAGCGTCTAGAAAATCCAGAATAAGATAATCTGTTTGACAGCATCACTGCTAATTAATTAAAAGTTGCTGGACCATGCAAATGGGGACAGGGCCTTGAAATGGTCGATGAACTGAGATGTACTGATGGTAATGCAACTCTATAGAAAATAGCATTGTTCTATTACAAGTAGTTCCTATAGCTATCAAAAACAACTTAAGCAGAAAACTTAACATTGAAAATTGCTGAACCATGACCTAGGGGGCAGCGCCTTGAAATAGTTGCAGGCCTCTACAATAACTTTTTTTTCAACTTGTCCAGTAGGACAAGACACACCAAAACTTACTTGTCCGAATGAAATTGTAACTTGTCCAAAAAAATCTTAATAATAACCTTTTTTGCATTTTAAGTTGATTCAAGGAACAAAATGAATTAAAAAAATAGAACAGAACTTGATTTATATCTTTTGAAATACTATTCAAAAATATGAGTCGAATACAACTGAATCTAATCATGTCACAGAACTTAGGTTCTACATGTAGTTCATCAATGCTAAAGTCTCATCAGATTCTGCACATGAGGCACCGTCTGATAGGGCTGTCAATGTACACTAATTGGATTTGTATCCTGGTTTTTTAAAGTTGAAAAAAGTTTATTCAAATGCAATCAATAAAAAAAAGATGAGGTATGATTCAGGGCTTCCAAAACGGTCATATATTCCGGACTTGACCGAAACTTTCATAAAAAGACCGGCTGCTCTCAGCCTCAAACGGTCAAATAGAATTGGTGTGCCACATTTTGTTATTCAAGGCATTTTCATGAAACGGTCATTTCAATTTTTACCAACTATCGATCGATAAAAATGTCCGTTTGGGGCTTTGGGCATGTCCGTTTGGGCATTTTAGTTTATAATTGTGGCAATCTATTTCACAAAGATATTTCGGTCATAATTGGGTTTAATAAAACAGAAGCAGCATATTTCAGATACTTTGAAGTGTCTCAGTTAGTCTAATCCTCTGGGTACATAAATGTACGGCTTGGTCTTTAGCTTGTGTACATCAATAAAAAGTAGAAAAAACACGTTTTCTTTTATTTAAATAACAACAAGCTGTCAAACAATTATCCCTTGAATAAGTTATATTGAAGCCATAAATCATTCACTGATTACAGGTTTGTTACCTTTGATGAGGTGTCCTTAGCTTATCTTTATCAATAGAATTAATGATGCATAACAATGTACATAAAGGTAATCCGGTAAACGAGGTCAAACATGTAAGCGTGTATGGAACAACATCCTATTTAATTACGCTTTATAGATATTATTTTAAATGAGCATTCAGTTTTAAAAGTATCCTGATATTTAAAAGTTATTCTTCAAATAAGGATATTTATAAATGAATAAGTATGATATATATTATTTTATTTAACACTGTACATCGTGTTAAATACTGGGGTACTCTCAAGGGGAAAATTTACTAAAACATATAGGAAAAACCAATGGACAAATTTCAGTCAATAAATGATTCAACTAAGTTAAATGGTGCCGTGATCACTTCTAAATTATATCAAGAGAACAATGCCTGCTCCGAATTTATTCAGACAATTTCCGATGTTATAGAGAAAGAGTTGATGTCCGACGTAAAGTTAAGTCCCGCCGTGGGAATTATGATCGACTAAGGTGTAGTCTAGGTATTGACGCTTTAGATCAACTTATGAGGATAAGCTTAGAAGGTGTAGATGTTAAAGACTTTGACCCTGTTCCTGCTATCCGCAAATGGCAATCCGTTCGTAACCGCCATGTTTATCAGAACAATGCATTTAGCAAGCTCATGAATGTAAAATCTTTAATTAGTCTAAATGAACTCTAATCTTGTGCTGTGATCTGTGCTTCTTTTCAATGTGCTCATTGTAATATTTATTGCGTGTGTTTTTCAGCATTGTGCTCTTCTGACATTTTATTGTTGTTATATGCTTACATAAAATATCATGTTGTTATTCATTAAATTATTTATCAACTGAGTATGTTTTTATTTATTCCTTATTTTCTAAATCAGGTTGGGAAATTGTACAAAGAAAAATGTTATCACTGTTCAGTAGATTTTACACGGTTTAAAACAATATCCTTCATCGGGCCTCCTCAATGTTATCTATAAATACCGCATCAGTTGTAAAAGTCACGTGGTCAGGTAATCAATACACAAAAAGAAAAGTATCACGTGTATTGATGATCAAGTTATACTGCAATTAAAGCCAACATCAACAGTTTCAAATAAGATGGCCTTAATTTACAAAGTGTTAAGTACTCACAGAGAGAAGATAGATTATATAAACAGAAACAAAAACATGAGAACAGTCAGGTACTGAAGCTGATTGATGCAATGATGGTTACTGTATTACGATACACAGAAAAATGACACAATACCGAGGATAATATTTTATTTATTTTTAGAATGAAGAAAACAAAACAGTTATAAATAATTTTATTGCATATAACACTACTAATTATTTAGACACATATATCAATTTATGCATCCTCTCAGTTACATTTAAGTATCCAGCTGATCATTGACCGTCATAAATATTTCTTTGAAAAATGTCCGGCTGTCGTCAGGAAATTTTGGAAGCCCTGGTATGATTGCCAATGAGACAACTCTCTGCAAAAGACCAAATGACACAGAAATTAACAACTATAGGTCACCGTATTGCAAGTATTGTTTTTTCTACATATGATCAAATATGATTTTGTGAATTTAATGGTAAATAATTTTTCATTTTTATCTAAAAAATATTTTTGTTAAAAAAATTACCGGTATGTTATTTATTATAAAGCAACAGAATAAGGTAGGGAAACGAGGTACTGGTTTGTCTTGGTCCCGAAATGTCTCCTGTGTTGCCAAACTGTCTATTAATCATGTCTATTAAATATGTCTCCTATGGTGCCAAACTGTCTATAAAACATGTTAAACTTGGAGCCGAATCGTTTCTGAGCTTGTGACGAACTGTCTTAAAAAGTTACCTTATCTACAAAGCGCATCGCATCGCATCGCTGATTCGGATCAGTAAGACTGGTTTCCGAGAATAGTATGCATTTTACCTGTTAAAAAGTACCTGACAAAGAACTAGTTTTAAATTATCGATTGCAAGTAAACATGTCTTGTTTTCATCATCTTTTCTTGTTTTTGTTTATAATTACTTTGTTCATCAAAGTTGGATTAAATTTATTTTCTGCAGAATAATTTTACTTGTCCCGTCGGACAAGCTTGATATAGTTTTTACTTGTCCGACCCTTTTTCCCTCTGGTACCGGACAATCGGACAAGCGTTATTGTCGAGCCCTGAGTTGTCAAACTGATATTTAGGCAGAGAAAAAAAAAATCTGTGTTTCCGGTAACCCGACCGACCCTGTTTTTTTAGCCCCGACCCTAATTTTTTTATTGCATCTTCAAAAAAAAAAAAAAAATTGGTATCAACCGACCGTGTTTTTGACACAGGCTTCTGTTAATCGACATAATTATTTATCTAACTTGCTTCTCCTGGCACAGAAAGCCAGTAACACATTTTATTTATGTCAAAAGGTATTCCAAATAGGTTAAAATCCAAGAAATTTGCATTGCAAATGGCAGCACTTCCGGTATTTGAAACTAATTACGGACCCGGTCTTGGAAAAACCATGAAAATTTTCCGGATTACGTTTACAATGTCAAAAAAAAAAAAAATCCGACCTACCGACCCTATTTTTCAAAATGATGTTACCGGAAACACAGATTTTTTTTTAGGCCTTATCGGTAGTAATGCAACTTTATAGAAAATATCATTCAGCTATCACAAGTTGTTCCTATCAAACTTAAGCAGAAAACTTTACATTGAAAATTGCTGGACCATGACCTAAGGCCTTGAAATAGTTGTCAAACTGATATTTATTGGTAGCAGTGTTCCCGCCTGCCCTAAATAGAAGGGTGGCCCACCCTTGGTGCCCTTACCCCCACCCTTCTGCCCTCCAAAGTAAAAGAATGCCCCCCTCTGCCTTTTCAAAAAAATAAAATTTCAAAATTTCATGCCTACCGAAATTTCCGGTCAAATTGTTACCTTATTGTGTACCACTAATTAACTGACAATGGGATTAAATTAAATACCTAATGCTTTGGCAGTAATGATTGTTTACTGCTTATTACTGGATTTAAGATAATTGAACAAATACTAGATATTTAATACAGAATGAAATGTCCATGTTATCCATTTGTAATGTTTATGTACAGCATGTACACCATAAAAAAATTATTTCAGTAGGCATAACATAAAAAATAAAATCTTAAACAATTTTAAAGGCATACATAGTTTAGACTTAATTGGTAAAAGTACAAGTTTGTTTATATTAACATCAAAATGATATGCTTTGCTTCATGGTATGATAATTTGATAAAAAAATTCTTACTGGAACTAACATCAAGAACACATTAATTTCTGAATATGGTTTAAATACAACTAATGTTCTCCAGCTGAGCCTAGCAATATTCAAGGTAATTTATACACTGTCCAACATTGCCCTTAAAATCTGGGTTATAACACTATAGTGCCCTTTCAGACAACTAGCACCCTTCTGCCGTGAGATTCAAGCTGGAACACTGGGTAGTAATGCAAGTAGAAAAATTAACAATTGTTGTCACTGTTGTGGCTGCCGCCAAGCAACACCTATGTCTTCCCTTCCATGACTAACATCTCAGTAAAAATACAAGAAATGGACAAAGGTGTTTTCAGAAAAGTTTTAAAGCCTAACAGCAAGATATGCAAAATTTAATTGCATTTTGTGTTTCTGAAGCAGTATTTTTCCTAGGCTATTCAAGCATTGCGGTACCGCTACGCATAAATTTCGACCGCCATGCTTTCATCATTGCCGCAATGCATCCCGCTATGTGTGAAAATTATAATTGTGTAAAATATTTATTATCGATATTTTGAAAGTGAAGTGACAAGTAACAACACTCCACAGGTGTTTTAAACTCATCCGACTGATAATTGGATGCATCACGTCGTGCGTGCCAGGATTTTACAACCTTCTTGATTAGTTGGTTATACATTTGTACATCTAGACTTCGGTTACATAATAGAAGTTGCCAGTTAGCTGATAAATAAATAGTAAGATTAATATCCAATGCATATCTTTCTGTGCTAAATAAAAAGTTTAACCTTTACCAGTATAAATTTCACCAAAAAATGAGCTGGTGTTTGACATCGTTATTTTACTGTGATCTCTAAAAAGTAAATTAAAAAAATTTGGTTAGTCTCTGGTATTATAAAATAAAACTAACGTAATTTCACCGAGAGTGGACAAAACTTTATTTACAAAATTCTTACATCTACACTGGTCATTTGGTCCAGTAATTGATGAAATTTTACTGGACCAAACCATTTATTACTGGACATTGCCACATGTCTGACGGACCTTGGGAATGACTGGAATTCAGAACACGTTTGTATACTTTATAATCTTTTGAAACTTGTGCAAAAATATCAAACAAAAAAAGATTTTATATTTTTACAACACAAAATGCATTCAAATTTACATATGCAATTTCTAGATATTGCAACTTTTCCAGCTGCACCAGTTGTCTAACCCGACTGTAAACAACCATTTTGTCATTTGTTATGATGAACCTTTGAGCAATATTGTCTTTAAATGTATTAAATCTGACAAGTTAACTTATGGAATTACTCTTTAAATTTATGGAAGAGCATGTGTTATTTTCCATCAAATGGGCTCACAAAGAGCATAGATAAACACAACTGCTTGCGTTTTTCAGTTGCCACGTATGGACTGCTTGCAAGTTGTAACCCATGGTAGTCAATTGTAAAACAAAAAGCCTACAAAACAGGTAAATAAAATATTTCTGCAACATGATATAATTTAAGACTGCATCATGTTGGTGAGTTTAAGTGGGGGTTCATGTACATTTGTGTGGCACAAAAGTGCCACGTATCAGGAGTGTAGTTTGGTATCCTGAAAGAGAAAGTACTTACCAGTTTCAAATATCATCAGGGTTGTTGGTAAAACCAACAACAAAAGAAATAAAAACTTTCCAAGAAAACTTTTCATTGTAAATTTTTTCACGATTATAAACAGTAAGATGGATGATTACTGATTTTCCACAACCCCTTCTTTAATTTCTACGGCTACCGGTGAAGTTAATGGACGCAGTTGTAATGATTATTTTGATTGGTCGTTGCAAAATTTTTACAAAATCTGCACCAATTGGATATGTTGTAACAAAAAATATAACCGGAAGCAACATGTAAAATTGAAGTGCCCTGCGGGAAATTTCTGAAAACTACATCTGTATTCTTTACAAAAACATGTAATAATAACGTGTCACTAAATTTACGATTTGACATTATATTCTATGCCTTTTATGAAAGCATAATTCCACTTTTTATACCTAAGTAAATACGTTAACAAGTTAACGCGTACCATTGTTCACTCGTACTATGTCAACTCGTACCAAGACAACTCGTACTTTTTACGAACTTAAGGTTCATCTATACACTTCCACAAAAATGGCTGTGTTTACACAATGAAATTTTCTCTGAATACAGACCAAACTGTGTAATTCTAATAGTTTTAAATCCTGGCAGCACCTAGATATATACAACTTGTATTCATTTTGTGTTTTAAAAAGAAAAAACCTTTTGTGGATTTTGCTAAACATTTTCTTTCCTTGCCACAGGTGGTGTAAAAATAAACAAAGTCATGTGAAATCTTTGAGATGGTCCCCCTCAGGTAATGATTGACTTGTATCATATTGATTGATATGGACAATAGAGGGACAATAGAAATCTACTCACAACAAAGGTGATTTAAATAGTGTAAACGAGTGGACTGTATCAAAGAAAACCCAGGTGTTTGTTTATTTCACCATCTTCTGTGGCAAGGAAAGAAAATGTTCATCAAAATCCATAAAGTGTTTTAACTTTTTAGAACATAAATTGGATGTAATATTAATTTATCTGGTATCGGGTCCGTTCGCGCCCAATACACGTTCGCACCCCACACGTTTGCCCCCTGGGTCCGTTCGCACCCTTTTTTTTATTCAAAAACCCGATGAATTATAAGATGTTTTTTTTAAAAGATGTTTATCTCAAAATAAAGAAAAATTCGGCAATTTTTGAATTTTTTAAATGAAATATTGTTTTAAATCGATTTGATGATTAATTATTTATGATTACTGTTAATTATATATGGTGTTTACACAGCTAAACTTGATGTAAATTCTGCATGTAGTTATATTAGCATGTATTTAACTTGGTATGAGTAAAAACAATTAAGATTCAAAATGTTATTGTTGTTGAATTTAAAGCGGTTTGGTATCTTAACATTTAAATAATATTCAACACAAAAAACCTTATTAGAAAGTCACTTTATTTTGAAACAATGAAAAAAAAAATATAGCAATACACTAACCAAAACACGATTAAAAAGATATTCAACACAAAAAACGTCACTTTATTTTGCATGTTTTGAAACAATGAAAAAAAACTTATTTATAGCAATACAATAACCAAAACACGATTAAAAAATTATTCAACACAAAAATCGTTTTTAGAAAGTCACTTCATTTTAAAACAATGAACAAAAAAAATATTTATAGCAATACACTAACCAAAATACGATTGAAAAATTATTTAAAACAAAATCAATAAAAAGGGTGCGAACGTGTAGGGTGCGAACGGACCCGTAGTGCGAACGTGAAAGGGGGCGAACGTGAATGGGCGCGAACGGACCCGGATTCAATTTATCTAGGTGCTGCCAGGCATTAAAACTTTTAAAATTACATAGTTTTGTTTGTACTCAGAGAAAATTTCATAGTGTAAACACAGCCATTTTTGTTAAAGTGTATAGATGAACCTTAATATAAGTTCCAAGTAGAAGAAATATTCTGTAATATTATTTCCACTGGAACACATATTACAGTATTTGTTCCTTACGGAATAAAGGGTATAGAATATTTGTTCCAACAGGAACAGATATTATGACTGTTTATAACAAAGTTTCTTGGGGAACTTCTGTTAGGCGGAATAAATATACGTTGACAATATCATCTCTAATAAATTTGAGCACTGAATTGAAAAAAGGGGTGCATATCAGGTTTTTTATACAATTTATGAGACCATGGATACAGTTTTATTAATTTAAGGCGAAAGGCACATAACGTCATAAGCACTGTTTTTATCTGAAAAGGGACAATTTTATCATTTTTGAGGGGAGATGTATCCCTCTAAGGCTCGCTAGAAAATACTGTGTCCGTTCTCTCCCACAACACTTTGGCCCCCTACATGTTCGCATTCCTCACGTTTGCACCATACACATAAGTACCCTATTTTTTATTCAAATAGAGGTTGAATTATTAGATGTATGCATCAAAATATTTATATTTTCATGAATACAAATAAATTTTTTGAATGTCTTGGCAATGTCGTGACATGTTTGATAACCGTTTGGTATATTCCCCCTTACTTTTACAAGTCTTAGATGAATGAACATGGCCATTGACCATCATGACAATATTCATTATTGATTTCATCAAAATGATTAACAAAACACTAAAGGAAACCTGTATATGTTTTTAGAATGTTATATAAAAAAGAAGATGTGGTAAGATTGCCAATGAGACAACTCTCCACAAGAGACCAAATGACACAAAAATTAACAACTGCAGGTCACTGTAAGGCCTTCAACAATGAGCAAAGCCTATACCGCATAGTCAGCTATAAAAGGCCCCGAAATGACAAATGTAAAACAATCATGACAATTCAAACGAGAAAACTAACGGCCTAATTTATGTACAAAATAATGAACGAAAAACAAATATGTAACATAGCAACAAACAACAACCACTGAATTACAGGCTCCAATTCAAGATTCATGAGCTGAAGAAAAACTGATTTTACGAGTAAATAAATTGGGGCCCTACATTAAAAAGTCATACGAACTGAGGACAGGGGACTAGACTTTGTAATATTAACTGTAATTAAAAGATTGTGAAATTGAGAATGGAAATGGGGAATGTGTCAAAGAGACAACAGACCAAAGAGCAGAAAACAGCCAAAGGCCACCAATGAGTCTTAAACACAGTGAGAAAATCTTATCATATATATATGTGAATTTTTAGTTCATGTACACATGCACTTGTCTCTGAGAAAAAAGTTGCCTATATACTTGAATATAACACAAGGTTAAATTATATTAAAGTATATAGGTAATTTTTTTTCAGAGACAAGTGCCTGTGTTCATGTATACTTATTTTGTACTTTGTCACAAACTTATTTTTTAAAGTGTACGTGGCAATAACATTTGAATTGAATTGAATTGATAAATTTTACTCTGAATATATTTTATTTGTGAAATTTCATACCTAAGAAAACACAAAAAACTTCAGGAAATTCCATTTCTGCTTGAAACAAAACCTAAATAAATACTGATTACATCAAAAAGAAACCTAAGGGAATAGTAACATGCTGGAGAATGGACCCCCAAAAAATAAGTGTGTAACAAATTATCATGAAATAAATAAATGAATAAACTGAAGAAAAGAAAATTATATTACTATTTTAACATAGGCTTGCAGCATACAAGGTAAATGTAATAAGCTTATTCTTAAAGTGTTCATATGGTTGAACTTGAACACTGTTTTTCACTTCTCCCTGGCAGCATGATTTCTTTTGAAAAGGTAAATGAAATATGAAGAAGAATCTGATGTTAGTCCTGTTTTAGGAATTTTATATTATATTTACTACTTAATTTTCAACAAAAACCTGTCAATCTGCTCTAATTTTGAACTCGTCTCTTACTATTGGTATGAGGATTTCATCAAAAACTTCACCAGCATAGCAGTAAGATGTCAATAACTGGGATTTTTTTATGCCCCCGCCGTATCGGAGGGGGCATTAAGTTTTACCCTTGTCCGTCTGTACGTCCCAAAATTGGTTTCCATTCTCTAACTTTAGTTTGCCTCAACCAAATGTTATGAAACTTATACACAATGCTTATTACCACAAAACACAGATCAAGTTTGAATTTTGGTGGTGTCACTTTTACTGTTCTAGAGTTATGCCCCTTTACAAATGGAAAAATTGCTGAATTTTTCGTTTCCGTTCTCTAACTTTAGTTTGCCTCTACCAAATGTTATGAAACTTATACACAATGCTTATTACCACAAAACACAGATCAAGTTAGAATTTGGGTAGCGTCACTTTTACAGTTCTAGAGTTACGTCCCTTTACAAATGGAAAAATTGCTGAATTTTTCGTTTCCGTTCTCTAACTTTAGTTTGCCTCAACCAAATGTTATGAAACTTATACACAATGCTTATTACCACAAAACACAGATCAAGTTAGAATTTGGGTAGCGTCACTTTTACAGTTCTAGAGTTACGTCCCTTTATAATGTTATATGCAAGCGGGGCATCATCTGTGTCCTATGGACACATTCCCCATTTATTTTAAATCACAATTCGCAAAAATCCTATTGAAAAACTAGTTAGCATCAACAAATTTAATTTTAAACTTATTTTCACTATAAAATATCCACAATTTGTTAGTATTGAGGAAATGTACAAGATAAAGCCATGTTGGAAAAATATATGTATACATATATATAGATATTTCTGTCCTACAAGCCCTACAATTTTTAGGAAGGAAGAACAAAAACATTAAACTAAAACAGATCTACAGTATCAAAAAAAAAGTTGTATCTATACTATTAAAACAAAGAGGTCCAATTTGATAGCCGACATAACGTAAAAACAACAAATGAAAGAATTCAACTTTATATATAACTAGTATAGGACAGTGGTGTGGTTTAGAAATTACACTATTCCATGCCCTTTTGTTTTCCACATAATTGATATTATCAATACTTAACAAGTTCCAGGTCGAATCCGATACCCATACTTATTGTATATGTCACATGTAGTTCCCAGTTGTAGTTACCAGTTACCTTTAATTTCCTCCTCTATCAGGAGAACCTGGTATTCTTCCAGTAGTTGTTTAATATCTATGTTACACTATAGTACACTATCATGACTATTTAACAAGTCTGTTTTCTTCAACCTCAATACCAAAATTAATTTTGGTTAATTATAGTTTTATAGTAAGTTTATTGTAGTAAGAAAACCAGGGCAGGTTCAAACAGAAAGATTTTGATAG